TATATATATATATTAATTTTAAAAAACTTATGATCAGCATAAAAAAAACCTTATATGAAACCTTATATGAAAGTTATGAAAAAACCTATCTATAATTATAAAAATCTATGCTTAAAATTCCTCCTTTTCCGATTTGACCATATCTTTTAACTTAACCAAATTTAATTATAAAATTACTTACAAATAAATAAAAAATATTTATATTAAAATTATAAAATATATTTATATTTAATTTCATAATTAAAATAATAAAAATAATAATAATTTTATATTTTTAACTAGAAAAAAATGATTTTTTATCATTAATTACAATTAATTGATTTTTTATTAATAAAATTCAGACCATTTAATTCAATATAACTGCTATTATGAAGTAGAATTTTAAGTGTCTATAAGACTTAAGTCTCTTTTACTTTACATTTTTTAACTATTATTTTTACGACAATATTTCAAAATGTATAATTTAAAAATAAAGCTTAAAATTAATAATAATATTACAAAATAAAATAAGTAATTAAAAATAAAGCCAAAATAAGTATTGATAATATAGAGAGAGATTAATTTTTAAATTTTGATGATTCGGAATACCTGTTATGTCTATTATTCAAATATTATAAATTAATGTTTTTATTAAATATCATTAGAGCATTTGATTTAATCATCCAAGAATTATTACAAAGTGATTAGGATTTTAAAAACAAGACTTATCTTAAACATCAACATCTCAATTATTTTAACATCTCAAAATTTATCCATTATTTGTCATTATATAAATTTATTAGGATTTTAATCCAGAAGATGTTTATGTATATTTAATAGTTTTTTAATTGTGACGGGAGTGATTTTATGACTTTCTGTTATTTTTAGTTTGGATATTACGAGTTCAAGCATTCTCTTTTGTCAATGATTTTACTTGAATGCAATCAGGGATTATTTTCTAAGTTATGTAAAAAAATTCTTATATCATCATAAGATACTTCGCTATCACCAAACTCAGGTCATCGTCGAAGCTTCTGCACAGGAATAAAAAACAAAGAATTCGAAACGTAAGCACAACCGTGGATGGATTGATCCAAAACTTGCAGAATTTTTTTTATTAAACTGGTCAAACAAACTTCTCAAAGAGAAGGTTCAATGCAGACGTCAATCTTGAACCTGACCGCTTCAAATTTCTCCATTATACTTCTGATGAATCATGAACAAATAGCTTCTGAATAATAATGTAATTAATGCAATAATCAAAAGCGGTCACACGTGACAAAATTAATAAAATTTCTAACCTTTGACCGTTGGGTGTAGTTGATTTCTGATAAACTACCAGCAAAAGCTTCTTATAAAAACCCTTGAATCAGTTGAATCATCGTAAAGCAATTCATAAAAGTTGAGAAATGGATGGAAACAACTACAATTCCTGGGCTGATCAATGGGACGATGGACCTGATCCTGTGACGGTTGGTTCCAGCAATAAAAACAGCAACGACAAGACAACCAAGTACAAGCAAAAGGTCGGAGAGGGTTTTGGCAAGACCAAAGCAGTCGCCTCCACCGGTGTGAAGAAGTTGAAGGATGGTACTTCCGTTGGCCTTCACTGGATCAAGACCAAGTATTCCAAAGCCACCAACAAACATTAATTTCACCATTTCTACATTCTTTTTTTCTTTCTCTTTCTTTCACTTTAATGTTTTCTGTCTTTTCAATTTCATCCTTCATGTATTCGTTTATTCTTCCTAGTTTGCAGTTAAGTATGATCATGTATCAGTTTCCCTGCTTGTTAATTATGCTAATTATGGTTCGTGTTATAAACTTTATATAGCTGACAGTTTATGGAAAACAATAGTTTATTTATTATAATTATTTTTTATGTTATTAAGAAAACTATGGTAAAAAATTATGTGAATTATATAAAAGATATCATTTTTTATTGATTAATATTTGTGTATGAGCTAAAAATGAAAACTGAACGGAAATCTTCTGAGTTGTCTACCTTAACCATGATTTAATAATAAATCAACTGTGGTTGGAGCGATACATTTTGTTAAATGAGCAATTTAAATGTTCGCCTTAACGTTTATTAGATAAAGAGTATTATAGTATTTTATATTTTTATATAGTATTTAGGAATGGACATCCTATAGTTCAAACTATATATGATAAATAAATTATTAAAATAAGAAAAATAGCAGAAAAAATAATATATAAAATCGTATAAGGGGTGTTATTAGGATGTTTGGTAAGAATGAGTGACATTTGTATTATTACTCAGCAATTTAACTTGTAATAATGTGCGGGTTAAATGAAATTTGGTTTATTGCTATAATTTGGTTTAGTGCACAATGTGGATAAATATATAGTTAATTAATGTAACAGAGCTTAGAAAAGTGATGTTCTAAATCTAATAATACAGAAAATATATCTGGATTCAAATTCTTACATAAGAACATACATTTATCCAGTAAACAAATGAAAATTTAAATCTCATTAGAACAAAGTTAGCAAATAATGTATCGATTTTTATTATGAATCCAAATCTATACAAAAATGTTAAAATAATGGTTAAGCATAGATAAATTGAAAAATAAGTTAATTGACTGTATGACTAAGACTAATTATGAATATGCAAGAAGTTAAAAACACAGTTCTTAACAAGTTTGATTTATCTTCTTGTCTTTAATTTCTGTTCTGATTCGGTAGGAAGATATATTGTTTATACTTTCCTAAAATCATTATGATCATAACTAAAGAAGATATATTGAATAAACTTCTCATTAAGCTTAGTTTATCTTTTAAGAATGAATGTGAATGGATATTTTATCGTAAAACACCCTCAGATTACCATGAGAAATATGTTTTCCTTTTCATAGGCTCTTCGGGGACATCACCATCAAAAAGAAGTAAACGAAGAAAGGTTAATAGATTAGATAATCTTATAAAAAGGAGATAAAGAAGAAGATGCTTCAAGAGAGCATAATACTGTCAATTTATCCATTCAGGCCTCCAATTTAATAGATGAATATTATTATAAATTGGATAATTCAAGAATATATAATTTGTTTTATCTTGTTTTTAGACCTATCTACAAGCATGACAGTTTTATCTTGTGTTATATATTTTTGTTAACGGCTATATGTAGTTTCTTAATCACGGTTGTGTATGTCTCATTAAACTAAATTTGAAAAATTTTATGCTTCATAGCTTATAATATATATAACAATATATTTCTTTTTGTTTTATTTTCTTTTATATCAATTGGTCTAATTATTATTATTTCAATTTGATCAATCAAAGTAACATGTTATAAGAATCTGAGAAGAAGAGGTGAAAAAAAATTAATTAAGTGAGCCAATGAGCCAAACTGTTTAACCCATCAACCCGTGATAGGTTGGGTCAAGTTCGAATTTTTTCGACTCGCCAATAAATGAGCCGAGTTGAGTTGACTCATTAAGTAACCAACTCATGATGAATCGGGTCGGACCGAATTACCCGTTTTGACAACTCTATAATTTTGCATGATAATATGAATATAATTTTATCATTAATTGTATTACATTCCAATTTTAACGCGGTAAGGTATTTTTGAAATTGTCATACTTTTGGAAATATTATTTAGAAATATTTTATTTCAAAACAAAAATGCTAGCCACCAATAATTAATTTAGCATCTTCCAGTGTAAACATTAGAATGAACTAAATGCAAGATATGTAGTCTTTTGTGAGAAAAATAAGTGTGAAAAAAGAATTTATATTTGTTACCAACAAGATAATCAAAACAAATTTCGATATATATATATATATATATATATATATATATATATATATATATATGTATGTATGTATCTAACAAAGAGCAATCCTACTTACCACCAGATAATAACATATCCTAAACCTTTAACCTTAACGTATCTTAATCAGAGTAAAAATAATCTAATAGATGTTTTGCAAAGAGACGGGACAATACAACAAATAATTATCTTTTGAATCGAAAAGGATTATTGTAACAAAAAAGTTCTTGATATTTAACCATTTTCTTATTTTAAACAAAGTTAAAATAATTAAAATTCAAAATTGATTCTCTAATAAAAAAAACTATGTTCATTTCTTTTTTGAAAGAGAAAAATGAGAGAATGGACTAACTCTAAACTTCAACACAAAATAAGAACTCCATTGAGCTGTGGAAAGTTCATCAGTTTACTAACTCCATTGAGCTCGGTCACTCACATTTCCAATTACGGTAAAATTTGTGCAGACAGAGACAAGCAACAAGATGTCCATCGCAATTCCCAACCGTCAATTGTTCATAGACGGTGACTGGAAAGTCCCTGCCCTCGGCAAACGGATTCCCATCATCAACCCTTCCACACAACAGATCATTGGTTATTTTTCTCTCTCCGCCGTCTCATCAGATCTCATTTTCAATCTCATTCACCCACACTTTCCTTCTCGATGCAGGGGATATCCCAGCCGCTACTAAGGAAGATGTCGACGTCGCCGTCGCCGCCGCCAAAGCCGCCCTTTCCCGCAACAAAGGCGCCGATTGGGCCTCCGCTTCCGGCGCTGTTCGGGCCCGCTATCTCCGTGCCATCGCTGTCAAGGTTCTTACTTCACTCGCTTCTGTTTTCTCTCTTCTATTTATCTATTTTCTTATTTCCATTATCTCCTGCAGGTCACCGAGAAAAAACCCGAGCTCGCAAAACTAGAAGCCATCGATTGTGGAAAACCGCTGGATGAAGCTGCCTGGGACATCGTAACCTCACATCCCTAAAAAAAATAAAATTAATAAAAAGATAATTAAAGTTGAATCATCGAGCATGATTGTTTGTTTTTGTGTAGGACGATGTTGCTGGTTGCTTTGAGTTCTACGCTGATCTGGCTGAAAAATTGGACTCCAAGCAAAAGGCTCCGGTGTCTCTTCCCATGGACACATTCAAGAGTTACGTTCTTAAGGAGCCAATTGGGGTTGTAGGATTAATAACTCCCTGGTACTACCTTTTCCATCTTTTTTCACCCGCTTTGATCAATGCTGGTCTTATATATAATTGATGATTATTGAGTGTTGTTGTTTTAGGAATTATCCTATGTTGATGGCTACGTGGAAGGTTGCTCCTGCTCTGGCAGCGGGTTGTGCTGCAATATTGAAGCCCTCTGAGTTGGCATCTGTGTGTGTATTGTTCTTGTTGATTGTTGCAGCTTGCTTCTTTGTTTTGTTGGTTCATTCTCATGCCGTGTTATGTTCAATTTTAGGACCTGCTTGGAGCTAGGTGAGATTTGCAAAGAAGTGGGGCTTCCTCCTGGTGTGTTGAACATTCTCACTGGATTAGGACCTGAAGCCGGTGCTCCATTAGCAGTCCATCCTGATGTCGACAAGGTTAACTCCCATCACTTTTTAAAACAATTGATGTTCTATTCTACGGGGTTGTAGCTAGTTTTCTGTCTTGCATATTTGCATGTATTGTTAATGCAATGTATTGAGTTTGCAAAGCTTGTGTTACATCATGACCATAACTTCTTGGACAGATTGCCTTTACTGGAAGCTCTGCAACGGGGAGCAAGATTATGACGGCCGCAGCCCAGCTGGTCAAGGTATTTTTTAAGCAATTGTGTTTTTAATACCTTGTTTGGTAGGAGGAGAAAAAATAGAGGAAGTTAGTGGATCACAAAAGAAAAGAAGAGTAATAAGTTACAAATAAATTGGAAATAATTGTATTTTTTTTCAAGGTTAAAGAAGAATGGAGTTGAAATATAAAAAGAAAAAAAAATTGCATAAGAGTAGAAATTAATAATGATTTATTTTAGAACTAATAAATATGTATAATAGATTATATATCAGTTGTAACGGTTTATTTGGACTGTGAAATACAACTATAATTGATTGTGTAATAATCCATAATTTATTATCGTAAGTTCTGCCCCTTATTAATATTCATTTTTTCTCTGTTCGCATATACATTTCTATGCTACGAAACTGCATACCTGAACCCTTTAATTGTGTTTTCTTAGTGCATGAATCTTTGTCACGTCAAATTTTTGGTTTATTCATGAATCACTGTAATATCAAATTTATGGTTTCTTGGCAGCCTGTTTCACTAGAGCTTGGTGGAAAAAGTCCAATCGTTGTCTTTGAGGATGTTGACCTTGACAAGGGTAAGTGATTTTCTTGAGTATAGCAATTTAGTTATGAACAGCACGTGTTTAGTTGCATCATGGAATCACATTCCGTTAATAAATACCGAGTGAGAATGAGTAATTTTTTGTTATCAATTACCTGTTACGTGATTTGGATCCTTTTTCCGTAATTTAAAAAGCTGCTGAATGGACCATCTTTGGCTGCTTCTGGACAAATGGTCAGATATGCAGTGCAACTTCCCGCCTTATTGTACATGTAAGTTTACTGGATAGATCCTGCCCCTTCCTCAACACACAGATATCTTAAAAAACAAGTATATGCAACTTCTTTTTTTCTTTTTCTCTGTGGACGTATATGGGAGTGATCATATTAACTTCAATTGGCTTGAATTTTTTTTAAACCACTTGGTAGAAATTATTTTGACATTTATCTGCCAAAACTGATAAGCAAAGATACTCTCGTTGTTTCAGGAAAGTATAGCAACAGAGTTTTTGAATAGGATTGTGAAATGGACAAAAAACATCAAAATTTCTGATCCCTTAGAAGAAGGTTGCAGACTGGGCCCTGTTGTTAGTGAGGGACAGGTAACTTGCCGATTCTTATTCTTTATATGTTATAATGTTTACACTTACACCTTACTCTCTTTCAAGTAAAGGACGGGTATGCTTTGGTATGTTCAAATGCAAATATCTTATTTAGTAGTCAAAATGAAAATGTAATGGTAATATGATTAATCATTAATTATGAAATTTTGATCAGATTGAATGTTTTAATATCAATAAGTTTTACTTTGGTAGTCAAAGACCCAGCACAATTTCCTTCTTTATCTTGGTTTGGGACTGGCTGTGAGATCATAGATGGAGTTATGGTCAAGCTAAGCGTATACAAAGCTTCCATAGAAGAATTATTGGTTATCTGGCTGTATATATCATGAGAGGGAGTCAGGGAAGAAGGAACCTTCTCCTGGTCGATGTATATGTTTCCATGCTTTACCTTTCTTTCTGGTTTTGCAACTTAAAATGTCTTATTGATATAAGCACACTTTTCTTCAAGAAGGCTATGTGATATCTAATACTTGTATTATATATGGTTCAGTATGAAAAAGTATTGAAGTTTATCTCAAATGCTAAGAGTGAGGGTGCAACCATTTTGACTGGTGGGTCTCGCCCTGAGGTATGATTATACTTACTTTGAAGGTATGTTTTGGCTACGTGCTTCTGCGTGTCTTGAGGACTGGGTATTTTTTCTCATTCAATGGCAGCATCTAAACAAAGGATTCTTCGTTGAACCGACTGTCATAACTGATGTGACTACCTCTATGCAAATTTGGAGAGAAGAAGTATTTGGACCTGTTCTCTGTGTAAAAACATTTAGCACTGAGGAAGAAGCTATTGATCTAGCAAATGACACTGTGTGAGTTGGTGGTTTTCTGTGCACTGACTTTAACTTCGTCTTTAAACTTATAGTTCTCTTCATTTGTGTCGTTATATCTGAGATACTTTGACTTTCCACAGATATGGCTTAGGTTCTGCTGTAATATCAAATGATTTAGAAAGATGTGAGCGCATTACTAAGGTGAGACTGGTCCTAGGTTATCATGGAAAACAACATATTAATTGGACCGTTTCTGCTGCTTAATAGATCATCTTTCTTCAATGCAGGCTTTTAAGGCTGGAATTGTGTGGATTAATTGCTCTCAACCATGCTTCACTCAAGCCCCATGGGGAGGCATTAAACGCAGCGGCTTTGGTCGTGAATTAGGAGAATGGTATGGTCTTTATTTACTAAATTAACAAATGCAAGTAACCGCAAATGCCTTCTTATTTTATGAACACATTGTCCAACATGCAAAAAAAAGAAAACCCACACTTATAAGTTGAAGTCAATAGGCTGTTGAATGCTCTAGCACCACTCATCTTTGTAGCACAAACATTACAACACATAATCACCAAAACATCATTAATAATCTACAAAATGTAGACATAACGACAGTATGTATATATACATACATATACACACACACACAAACACACTAATGTATATGTGTGTGTGTGTATTGAACATCATTGAGTTATTTAAATTGACTATCAAGATCTATATAATCAGAATCATCTTTATAAAAGTTAGTTAAGTATAACAATCTAAACATATTGTCACCTAATACAAAATTGAATTTAATTCATCTATCTAAAATCCAAAAAGTGAAAAGAGATCTATTTAATTGAGACATTTTACTCCCTTCCATCATCCTCATTGAAAAGACATTCTAGCCGAGAATCATAGAATGACAAATTAACATTTTCAAAGAATTAGACATTATGTGAACAGAAGATACAAGAATAAATAAAAACGTTCTTAGTAATACATATATAATTTAGCTATTCCTGATTATATAGAATTTGATCTTTGTTTCTATAATTATATTCGAAACGTACACAGTAATTCCTGAGTTTCTAACTTATAAAAATAATCACTGTCTGTCTTTATTAATGATGTCGGATTTAAAAAAGGTTTTTTAAATCAGACACTTCAACAAAATATCTGATACATGTCGTATGTATGTTGTACGTGTTTTAGTGTCCTATACTTGTCGGACACTGGAACACACCCTTGAAGAGGAGTGTCCAAGCTTCATAGCTACTAATCTGTTGACAGCATGTTGACCATCAACTCTGTACAGCCAAATTCAATCGAAAGCTCAGTACAGCTGTATAACAGTTGTGGCTCTGGTTCATCCTTTGCATGGTCTAATTGGAGCAATTTTAAACCATAGGAGATTGTGATGTGTTAACACATTGAAATCAATAATCTTAATAAAAAGTCTCCTTGTACATAATGAACATGAATAAAAATGCAATACTAGTTTCCTTTTTAGTGGCTTGTCTAATTTGGCTTGTTCCCTTGGACTGAAGCTAGCTTAAAAATGAGTCGGGTTGCGGAGGCAATATACTAGACTCTTGTATGATTGTAAAAGAGAAAACAAGACTTTCACCTCAATCATTTTTAGATACGGAGTGGAAGATAAAGCTTTTTGGTTTTATTTAAGCTTGGGAGTAATTTTTTTATTAACATTTTCAGGGGACTTGATAATTACTTAAGTGTGAAGCAAGTGACTAAGTACATCTCTGATGAACCGTGGGGCTGGTACCACTCTCCTTCAAAGATGTGACACTTATCTAACAGCTGAGATGTAATAAGGTGTGGGTAAACACCAAATTACGGTAGGATCTCAATGTTGAGAAGACATCATGTCAATGTATAACAACACAACTGGTTTCTAGATTTATGATGGTAGTGGTTCTAATTTCATTTGGTTATGTTGGCCCATCATCATGCATCTAATTTCTAATATCGTGGCAGATTTCTCTGAACTCTAGTTCACCCGGACTGAAGTATCATTCCTACTATCCATCCTACTTTTTTCATGACGGGGTGGATAGTGCAATCATATTCAAGGTGGTGACATTTCTTAAGTAAAGAAAAACTACTACCATCATGGAGGTTGTTGACAATATTATAAATGTTTGTTTGATTTAGAGAATGGTTTTAATGTGAAATTAATATCTTGAACAATTTTATTGTTGAAGCTATTTTTGAACAATTTGTGCAATTAAGCCTTAATTTTTATCGCCTAAAGGTTAAAGCTCAAAGTATATAATTACTGAGTGTCTGTACATTTGATTAATAAACTTAACAGTTATACGATAGTATAATATAATTTATAAATACCACCTTTCTCTGTTTTTCTATTTGTCTCTCTTATGTGTAAAATAACTTAAACAAAGATGTTATATAAAGTGAGTTGCACTTTTACACTTTAAAGGTAATGAAATACAAAGATCAAGAGTACATCTATAAATGAGTGGTTGGATACGTGTATTTTCTTTTTTTGAATGAATTTAAAATGTTTCTATATGCCAAGTGAATCAGAGGCGCATGTGGAAACTATGACTTAGGATAATACGCCATTGCACCAAACTGCATTGTTGATTCTGAGCATATTTTCCATTACTTTTTTGGACATTGGCGCAGATCATCTCTAGTATGTTATTTAAAGATGATAAAATGTATTCATCTATGTCAGCGAACTGAAATCCAATCCATTCAGATCATCTTCTCAAGTTTCTTTCAACAGTTATTTATAGATGATAAAAATTTATTCGTCTGTGTGATTCAATCCGCTCTGAAGTCCAATCCATTCGATTTTTTAAAATAAAGAAAGCACTTTAAGAAATTAGACTTTCTTTTTTATACATATATGTTAACTTTCTTGGTTGTGGTTAAAAATATTTACCATTTTTAAGTTTGTTTATCCATTTAATTTTTTGTTAAATTAAATATTCTATTTTAAATAAAATAAAAATGGATGGTAAGATACATAAGGGATAGTAATACTCCTATCTAATTAAGGGAAAAAAATACATGACAGTTATTCATCTACTTTATACTTTTTTTTATTCAATAAAATATTATACTATAATAAAACATTAAAATATTATACTATAACCAAGTAAACTAATATTTTGTACTCTTTTTGCTATATGAAAGTTATTTCATTTTTTTTATTCAACAATGTTATGCACATTTTGATAATTGATTTACATATGATATTAATTGTTATTTAATATCTATTATTTGTCTCTGTATGTTTAAGTACTTTTTTGGGGGGATACTGTTTTTGTGGAATACATAATCATGATTCCATGAAAGATTGAATAGTTTTCTCTAATAATATAGGGATTCTTATTGAACATATATATGAAGGAGATTATTAACATTCTGCTTCACATTACAGAAAGAAAAGAGAAGGGAGAAAACGAAAATTGAGAGAGAAGACCAAAAACAAAATGCTTATGGAAAACTGTAAAACAAACTATAACAGAATATGTATAACAAATTTAAAAATGTGGACTTGGGCTATACTTTTTCCTCTTTATTATCTAATAGAGATTCTATTTGGTGTAAGAATGTTAAAGTGACAAAATTCAGTAAAATTCTTATTAGTTTTGGATATTTATCTATTTAAATTCTTGTAAATTTCAATCATAATTTCTCACCGCATCATAGCATACATTTTCAGAGCACCAAATTCACATAAAGTGGATTCATTCTCTCAACAGAAATTCCCAAGCATAAAAGTACCTTAAATCACAAATCAACATCTCTTACAAATTGTCTAAAATTTTTATAATAAAACTACAACTTTCACATAACTTCAAAAATTACGATCTTAGACTCAAGTTAAAAATAATTGACTTAAAAAGACAATGCAAAAATAATCAACTAGATACCATAAAAAAAAAAGTTATGGAACAAAGCTGCAAAGTTCAAATCTAACAGAATTCAATTTTACACTTATTTAAGATAGATAGATGCATTTAGGATTGGTAAAAAATTTAGACTTCCACAAAGTAAGCTTACTCAACTAACACCAAAATTAATAAATCTTATTCAGGAGATATAAAATTAAATTTAGAAAATTCATCAAATCCAAAGCCGAGACTCTTTTATTCTCTATTTTTTGGTTATATGGAGATCCTACTACCATAGCATTCATGTGTTCTTTTTTCCTCTTGTGTTTTATTTTGATTGTTTTCCTACCTCTTTAGCTTCCAACTTGTCAACCTTTAAGAGTTTTAAAAACTATTCCATTTTTTATTCCTTCATTAAACTTGATGTCAGTTTTAAATACATTCTCTTAAATACACTCTTATTTTCTCACACCTCACATATTTTATACAATAACAAAGTGAAAATTAGTCTAACACAAGGTCGACCTTTAGACATAAATTTACTACCACACAATCCCCTAACTTTTAGCCTAAAAAACTAAAAAAAACTATCAAATGTGTGAAAAAATCACTTCTTCACCTGTCGATATTGGGCCTAATAATGTGATCAACATTTGGCCTACCACCACACAATTCCTAACCTAAAAGACTAAAAGGTTAAAAAACAAATGTATTATCAGAAACAAACTCTTTCCACTTAAAGAATTCAAAACATCACTCTACTATCCTAAAGCACACATCAATGCTTTATAATAAAGTTATAATATTAACCTTGTTATTGTCTTTTTAACAAGTGAGAAATTTTTCCATTACTCGTTCTACAAGTAAGAGATCCATATAATTGCTTACTTGCATTTTTCTAATAAGTGATTAGAATTTTTTCCCTACTAACAATTTACAAGTAGAAGATTAGTAAAATTGCTTACTTCCATTTAACAAGCAAGGGATCAACCTTTAAAAACCTTTAAAACTACTTGTTCCTCTTTTATTCCTTCATTAAACTCGCTATCAACCTTAAATAAACTCTTTCATTCTTTGACTCCTCACATCTTTTATCACAACCTCAAACCAAAAATTATCCTAATAACCAACGCAAGGTGATCCTTTAAACTTATCAATTAATATTGGATCTACCACCACAAAACCCTTATACTTTGGTCTAAAAAGAATGTAAAATGTGAAAAAATCATTCCTTCATCAATGGATATTGATCCTAAAAATGTGATCAGCATTTGAGCCACCACCATAGATATATAAGAAATCGAAAGTAATTTGTTCCTTTGGTACATCCTCCGTAACTCTTAACTATATTGAACAACTCGTAAAATTTATTTTGATTAAATTAGCAGACTCGGTACAAGAAATTCAAGATCGCACTAGATCTCCCGCTCAAATACATAAAAGGTAGAAACTATACAAGAAACAAATGTGCAAGAACTGCCTAAGCTGATGTTGGTCACGCACCCCGTTGAAAAAGCCGTAAAGGGAAGCTTTGCGGGCGCATCAAGGAAAGAAATGTAATGCGAAAATTTGTAATTGATTTGTTCTTGGGAGGAAAGTTACAAAATTTTTAATGGTCTTTTTGCAGCAATCTCAGAGTACCACGATTTCCATGCCTCCATGTAATGGGAAAAGAGATCTCTCAAAGCTGAATCAAAAGAAAAACGGACATCAAATTAGTTGGCTTTCAATCAACATGTCAATAATCAAGCTACTGGACTATAGAAGTGAGTTAAATGAGACTTGGAACATCTGCAACACGAATGGTTACAGGGTTGTAAGTTTACAGCCAACTTTTACACAGAAGACAACAGATTGGAGGAAATAGCGTTTTCTATCATTAAAGAATGGCTGTAAAAATATGCACACAACTCTGCCTTCCTCTCAGCATGCGAATAACAATTTTATAGAGCTTTGAAAACCACAGGAAGGAGGTGCGTTGATGGTTTGAATGAGGATCTTGCGTTGCATCAACAGATGGAAAGGGATATGCTAGCAATTGTAACGATATTGGCCGCACTATTGGCTGGATGGTGATTTTTAGAGACATGTTCTGATGATGGAGAACATGTTTGTCTTGATGGGACACGAAATTGAGTTTATAACTGATGTGCCGATGAGAATCTTGAGTTGCATATACGAGTAAAAGGATTCTCCCCGTAAGGGAGTAGTGAACAGTGTGCAGGTGAAAGATGAGCTAAAGAATGAATGACGAAACAATAAATATATAAAAAAAAATACCAATAAATGTCAAATAGAACAGTTCACCTATCCAATAGATTGAAGATAGAAAGTGTACTTGTCCAATCTATACCAATTTTTTTCCAGACTGTATTTTCGCTCTCTAATCCATTGTTCTATCAACTCAAACCAAAATAGCCTCTTTTTTTGATTTATATTTATAAAACTTCTATAACAAATAACAATATCAAATCAAATAAACTCGATACTTTTGAACCGATTTTTTTTAAGCTCGACTTCATACGAACCAAATCAAATTAATCAAATTCATTTAAAATAAGACTTTTTAAGTCCAAGCCAATATTAAACAAAACATATTGAAAAAAAGTAAACATTTACTTAAAATCACATTAAATAGTACTTCAACGCAATTTTCAATAATTCAACGTAAATCCAAACAATAATATTTAAACAACGTTTTATGTTGGGGGAAATATGAAATATTGATTACCTTCGTTTTGATACTGAGGGCTATGTGTAGTTACTAGACCGTCCCAGTCATGCACCTGCTTTACATTATTATTCCCAGAGGCTCCAACTCCGGGCACGCACGCTGGAGCGAAAGGACCAAACTGATAGCTCTTCGAAGTTTGTTTTGTACCTTGTTTTAAATTGTTTTCATCTGCCTGATCCAGCCCTCTATCATTTTCAATTTTTAGCTTCTTGGGATTAGAATTCAAGTCTCCATTTGTGAATAGTTCCACCTTATTCCTCTCAAAGCTGATGTTTGTAATATCACTCCCAAACGCCCTTTTCCTAGACTCGTTCTGATTTGATTTGTGAAGTGACTCATTCCATGTCTTCCCTTCAGGACCCAACCACCTGAACGCTGGTTTTCTTGTATCTGACGTATGGGTCTGTCAATTTGTAAAATCATCGTAAGCTGAGGACTAGAATATGATTAGTTATGCAATTACGTTAAA